TTTAGCCCATCTTTTAATTGGGTGGTTTGGTTTGTTTTTTTTTTGAGTTCTTTATATATTCTGGATGTTAAACCTCTGTCAGATGCGTCACTGAGGAAGATTTTTTCCCATTCTGTGGGCTTTCTTTTCACTTTTTTGATTGTTTCTTTTGCTGTACAGAAGCTTTTTAGTTTAATGAGATCCCACTTATTGATTGCTGACCTTAATTCCTGAGAAACTTCTGTTTGATTTAGAAAATCCTTTCCTATACCTATATCCTGCAAGTTACTGCCAATATTTTTCTTCTAATAGTTTCAGGATTTCCAGTTTCACACTGAGGTCTTTGATCCATTTGGAGTTGACTTTTGTGCAAGGTGAAAGATAAGGATCTAATTTCATTCTTCTACAAGTGGAGATCCAGGTTTGTCAGCACCATTTGTTGAAGATGCTGTCTTTCCTCCATGTGTGTTCTTGGCACTTTTGTCAAATATCAGGTGGCTGAAATTGCATGTACTCAAGTTTGGATCTTCAGTGATGTTCCGTTGATCTATGTGTCTGTTTTTGCACCAGTACCATGCTGTTTTTACAACTATGGCTCTGTAGCATACTTTGAGATCTGGTAAAGTAATTCCCACAACGTTGCTCTTTGTGCTCAGGGTTGCTTTGGCTATTCAGGGTCTTTTGTGCTTCCATATGAATTTAATGATGCATTTTTCTAATTCTGTGAAGTATGTCACAGTATGGGATTGCATTGAATCTATACATTGCTTTTGGTAGTGTGCTGGATAGTTTTAGTGTCAACTTGACACACCTGGGTTGAGGGAGCCTCAATTGGGGAATTGCCTTCATTGGACCGGCCTGTGGCCATGTCCATGGGGTGTCTTCTTGATGGTCGAGTGATGTGGGAGGGCCCAACCCACTACAGATGCTGCCACCCCTGGTCAGGTAGGCCTGTGTTGCATAAGAAAGCAGGCTGAGCAGGGACCAGGAGAGCAAGCCCGTAAGCAATGTTCCTCCATGGCCTGTGCTCCAGCTCCTGCCTCCAGGTTCCTACCCTGAGTTCCTACCTTGGGCTCCCTGATGAACTGTGACCCAGGAGATGTAAGGTAAATAAACCCTTTCCTCCCCAAGTTGGTAGTGGTCAGAGTGGTTTGTCACAGCAGTGAAGAAACAAACTAGGACAGGTAGGAGGTCATTTTAGCAATATTAATTCTTCCAATCCATGAACATGGGAAGTCCTTCTGTCTCCTGGTGTCTTCCTCAATCTCTTTAACGATTTAAAATTTTCATTGTAGAAATCTTTGGTGTCTTTTGTTAGATTTATTCCAAGATACTTAAATGTTTTTGCACCAATTGTGAATGGGAACATTTCCTTTTATTCTTTCTCCAATTGCTTGTTATTGGTATATAGAAAGGCTACTGATTTTTGTAGATTGATTTTATAACCTGCTACTATACTGAAAGTGTTGATCAGTTCTAGGACTTTTCTGGTGGAACTTTTGGGATCTCTTAGGTATAGTATCATATCATCTGCAAAAAGTGATAGTTTGACTTCTTCTTTTCCAATTAGTACTCCTTTAATTTCCTTCTCCTATCTTATTGCTCTAGCAAGAATTTCAAGCACTATGTTGAATAGGAGTGGAGATAGTGGGTATCCTTGTCTGGTTCCTGATTTTAATGAGAGTGCTTCCAGTTTTTCTCCATTTAGAATGATATTGGCTGTGGGTTTGTTGTATATAGTTTTGATTATGTTGAGCTATGCTCCCATCAGTCCAATTCCCTCTAGACTTTGAACATAAATGCATGCTGAACTTTGTCAAAAGCCTTTTCTGCATCTATTGCAATGACAATGTACTTTTTGTCTTTGAGTCCATGTATATGATTAATGATGTTTATTGACTTGCATATATTAAACCACCCCTGCATCTCTGGAATAAAGCCTACTTGATCACAGTGAATGGTCTTTTTGATGTGTGTCTGTGTGGTTTGCATGTACTTTGTTGAAAATTTTTGTATCTATGTTCGTTAAGGATATGGGCCTATAGTTTTCTTTTTTGGTTGTGTCTTTACCTGGTTTGGGTATTAGAATGATGCTGGCTTCATAGAAGGAATTTGGGAGTTCTCCCTCCATTTCTATTTTTTGAATAAATTAAGTAGTATTGGATGCAGATCTTCTTTAAATGTCTGACAGAATTCTGCTGTAAATCCATCTGGTCCTGGGATTTTTTGGCAGGAAGTTTTGTATTACTGTTTCAA